TAGAATGAATTGGGATGTGTTTCCTCCTCTTCTATTTTTAAAAAGAGTTTGTGAAAGATTGGTGTTTAATTCTTCCCTAAATGTTTACTTTAGTTGAAGTGAGGCCATTTAGAACTAAGCTTTTATTTGTGGGAAGTTTTAAAATTACTAATTCAATCATTTTATTTGTTATAGGACTATTTAGATTTTCTTCTTCTTCTTGAGTTAAAGTCTTCTTTGTCTTTCTAGACATATGTCCATTTCATCTAGGTTATCTATTTTGTTGCTATACAGTTTTTTATAATTTGCCTTATAATCATTTTAATTTCTATAAAGTTGATAATAATGTCCTCTCTTTTACTCCAATTTTATTTATTTTGAGACCTCTCTTGTTTCTTGGTCAATCTAGCTAAGGTTTTGTAAAATTTGCTTATATTTTCAAAAGAAATCTTTTGGTTTCACTGAGTTCCCTCTATTGCTTTCCTAGTCTTTATTTAAAATTATTTCTGTATCTTGTTGATGTTGTTAGCTGTTGTCGGGTGGGTTCCAACTCATAGCAACCCCACGCATGACATAACAAAACACTGCCTGGTCTTGTAGCATCCCCACCATTTTGGTCAAGCTTGAGCCCATTGCTGCTACCACTGTGCCAATCCATTTCATTGGAAGTCCTCTTTTTTATCCACACTTAACTTTACCTAGCATGATGTCTTTCTCCAGGGACTGGTTCCTCCTGATAATGTGTCCATAGAATGAAAGACAAACTCTCACCATCCTGGATTCTAAGGAACATTTAAGTTGTACTTCTTCCAACACAGATTGATTTGTTATTCTAACAGTCCATGGTACTTTTAATATTGTTCTACAACATTATAACTAAAATGCATCAATTCTTCTACAGTCTTCCTTATTCGCTGTCCAATTTTCACATGCATGTGAAGCTACTGAAAATACCATGGCTTGGGTCAGGCGCACCTTACTCCTCAAACTGAGATCTTTGCTTTGAAACATCTTAAAGAAGTCTTGTGCAGCAGATTTGCCCATTGCAATACATCATTTGATATCTTGACTGCTTCTTCCATGAGTGTTGATAGCAGATCTAAGCAAATTGAAGTCTTGATAACTTCAATCATCTTTCCATTTATTGTGATATTATTTATTGGTCCAGTGGTGTGGATTTTTGTTTTCTTTACATTAAGGTGCAACCCATACTGAAAGTTGTGGTCTTTGATCTTCATCAGTAAGTATTTTAAGTCCTCATTCACTTTCAGCAAGCAAGGTTGTATCATCTGCATATCACAGGTTGTTAATGAGTCTTCCTCTAATCCTGATGCCACATTCTTCTTCATATAATCCATCTTCTCAGATTATTTGCTCAGCATACAGACTGAACAAGTGTGGTGAAAGAATACAATCCTGGAGCACACCTTTCCTGATTTAAAACCATTTGGTGTCCCCTTGTTCTATTTGGACAACTGCCTCTTTGTCTACACGCAGGTTCCTCATGAGCACAATTAAGTGTTTCAACATATTCATTCTCCACAATGTTGTCCATATCTTGTTATGATCCACACAAAAGCCTTTGCTTAGTCAATAAAGCACAGGGAAACATCTTTATGGTATTCTCTACTTTCAGCCAAGATCCATCTGATATCAGCAATGATATCCCTTTTGTTCTACATCCTCATCTGAATCCTGCTTCAACCTCTGGCAGTTTCCCATCAATGTACTGTGGCAGTTATTTAATTATCTTTAGCAAAATTTTACTTGCATGTGATAGTGATAACATTGTCTTATGTTTTCTGAATTCTGTTGGGTCACCTCTCTTTGGAATGGATCTCTACCAATCAGTTAGCCAGGTTGCTGTCTTCCAAATTTCTTGGCATAGAGAAGTGAGTGGCTCCCATTTGTTGAAAGATTTCCATTTGTATTCCATCAATTCCTGGAGACTTGTTTTTTTTGGGGGGGGTGGGGGGGCGTACAGTGACTCTGTTTTCCTTCCATCTTCTTTTGATGCTTTTTGAATCATTCAGTATTTTGTTCATTGTTGTTGCTAAGGGCCATTGAATCGAGTCTAACTCATACAGACTCTGTATAGAGTTTCTGAGGAGCGACTGATGAGTTTGAACTACTGACCTTGTTGTTCAAACCAACTTTGTAGTTCAGTACTTATCCTACAGTACCACAACAGAACTCCAAATAATTTTGCCCATAGAATCCTTCAATATTTCAAGTGAAGACTTGAATTTTTTCTTTAGTTCTTTCATCTTGAGAAATGCTAAGTGTGTTCTTCTCTTTGGTTTTCTAACTCCAGGTCTGTGCATATTTCATTACAATATTTAACTTTGTCTTCTCAAGTTGTCCTTTGAAATTTTCTGTTCAGCTCTCTTACTTCCTCATTTCTTCCATTTGCTTTAGCGTCTCTACACTGGAGAGCAAGTTTCAGAGTCTCTTCTGACATCCATTTTGGTCTTTTCTTCCTTTGTTGTTTCCTTACTGACCTTTTGCTTTTTTCCTGTATGATGATCTTGATATCATCCCATAATTCTTCTGGTCTTCAGTCATTAGTGTCAAATGCATCAAATCTGTTCTTGAGATGACTTCTAAATTCAGGTAGGATATGTTCAAGGTCAAATTTTGGCTATCAAAGACTTTAAAATTTTTTTTTCAACTTCAGTCTGAACTTGCATATGAGCAATTGATGGTCTGTTCTGCAATCTTTCTAGAAATATTTGTCTTGTTTTGGCTGATGATATGGAGCTTTTCCACCATCTCTTTCCAAAGCTGTATTCAACTTGATTTTTGTGTATGCCATCTGGTAGGAGCTTTGGTAGCATAGTGGTTACGAATTGGGCTGCTAATATCATGGTCAGCGGTTTGAAACTACCAGCTGTTCCATGGGAGAAAGATGAGGCTTTCTGCTCCCGTAAAGATTTACAGCCTTGGAAACTCTATGCAGGGTCGCTATGAGTTGGAACCGACTCCATCGCACAACAAAAACAACAACATCTGGTGAGGTCCACGTGTACAGTTGTCTTTCATGTTGTTTTTTAAAAAACCTATTTGCAATGAACAAGTCAAAGGTCTTGCAAAACTCTATCATGTAATCCCCAGCAGAATTTCTATCACCTAGGGCATATTTTCCAACTACTGATCCTTCGTTTCCAATTTTTGCATTCCAATCACCAATAATTATCAATACATCTTGATTGTATGTTTGATCAATTTCAGACCGAAAAGTTAGTAGACTGCTTCAATTTCATCATCACTACTAGCTTTAGTGGTTAGTGCATAAATTTGAATAATAGTGGTGTTAACTGGTCATCCTTATAGGTGTATGGATATTATTCTATCACAGACAGCATTGTACTTCAATATAGATCTTGAAATGTTCTTTTTGATGATGAATATGACACCCTTCCTCTTCAATGTGTTATTCTCAGCATAGTAAACCATATGATTGTCAGATTTAAAATGGCCAATATCAGTCCATTTCAGCTCACTAATGCCTAGAATATCGATGTTTATGCATCCATTTCATTTTTGAGAACTTCCAATTTTCCTAGATTCATAATTCATACATTCCATGTTGTGATTATTAATGGATGATTGCAGCTGTTTTTACCCATTTTGAGTTGTGCCCCATCAGCAAATGAAGGTCCTGAAAGTTTTACTCCATTCCCATCATCATGATCAACTCTACTTTGAGGCAGCATTTCCTCAGTTGTATTTTGAGTTGCTTTCAAACTAAGAAGCTCATCTTCTAGCACTATATCTGACAATATTCTGGAGCTATTCATCATGTTTCAGTATTCAGTATTCTGGTGCTGACAGTGTTCTCCTGCTATTCATAAGGTTTTTGGTGACTAACCATTTAGAAGTGGTCTGCCTCTCCTTCTTTCCAGTCTGTCTTAGTCTAGAAACTCAGCTAAAGCCTGTCCACCTTCAGTGTACCCTGCTGGTATTTAAAATACCAGTGTCATAGTTTCCAGGATCACAGCATCATGCAAGCCTCCACCTGTATAGTCTTTGTTATTTCCTTCCTTCTGCTTGCTTTGGATTTAGGTTGCTCTTATTTTTCTAGTTTTTTAAAGTAGGAGGTTAAGTTATTGGTTCAAGATCTTTCGTTTTTAATTTAGGCATTCATAGCTATAAGTTTCCCTACAAGGACTGCATTAGCTGCATCCCATAAATTTAAGCTTGTCATTCATTTCAAAGTATTTTCTATTTTTCCTTGTTATTTCTTCTTTGAGCCATTGTATAATTTCCACATATTTGTGAATTTCCTAAGTTTTCTTCTGGTATTGATTTCTAATTTCATTCCATCATGGCTAAGGAATATACTTTATATTATTTGTCTCTTACATTTATTGAGACTTGTTTTGGAGCTTGACATATGATCTATCTTGGAGAATGATCGGTGTGCACTTGAAGAATAGCACAATGTGTATTCTGCTGTTATTGCATGGAGCTGTCTATAGATGTTTATTAGATCTAGTTAGCTAGCAGCATTGTTCAAGTCTTTATTTTATTTTCTCCCAAGTTGGTCTATCCATTATTGAAAATGGGGTATTGAAATCTCCAACTATAAACGTTGGATTGTCTATTTCTCATTTCAATTATGCACGTTTTTGCTTCATATATTTTGCGACTCTGTTGTTAGCTGCATATATGCTTACATTTAAATAACTTCTTTTATAATAAAAAAAATTCCACTTCTCTGGTAAGCAGTACCACTTAATTTTAGTATCCTTTCTTTTTTTTTCTGGTCATTTTTACTACTAATCTTGCCCTAGTTATTGTCTAAATTCAGAGGCAAAGCAAACCAGCTAAGCATGCTCTTTGCTCAGCAATCAGGGTTTTGAGAAATGGCTGCTCATCAATGGTGTCCTTGATGCTCCTCTGTCTGCCCTGAGCCCTCCCTCTGAAGAGGCTCCCTTGCTAAGGGTTGGGCCTAGTTTGTGGTTTCCAGATCTGAGGATATGAGGGCAGGGATGATGAGAAAACTTTCTATTTTCCAGAATGATGCCATTAATCCTGAGGACTTCCCAGAATCCGTTTACAAGAGTTTCCTCATGAGCCTCTGTCCTCGGCCAGAAATAGATGAGATTTTCACTTCCTAGTGAGTTTCTTGGGCTGGGATTGACATGGAAAAGGGGCCTAGCTAGCAATCTTTCCTCCCACCTACCATGCTGGAATCAGAGGCTTCACTGGAGAAGACATTGAGCCCCTAGGTCCAGTGAATGCAGATCTGTGCTCCTCCCTCTGGTCTACAGTCATGCCAAGGCCAAACCCTACATGACCAAGGAGCACCTGACCAAATTCATCAATCAGAAACAGCGGGACCCACGGCTCAACTCCTTGCTGTTCCCATTAGCACGGCCTGACCAGGTCCAGGGCCTCATTGACAAGTATGAGCCCAGTGGTATCAACGTGCAAAGGGGTGAGGACTAAGGGAACCCCTCACCCACCATGGTCCTGTCCTGTCCCAGCAGCTGAGACACAGCTCTGACATAAACCCTGTTCTCTAGGTCAGCTGTCACCTGAGGGAATGGTCTGGTTTCTCTGTGGACCAGAGAATAGTGTGCTGGCCCAGGACAAGCTGCTGCTTCACCAAGACATGACACAGCCACTCAATCATTACTTTATCAACTCCTCACACAACACGTACCTGACAGGTAGGCCCTGGCAACCTCATAGCTGACCTTTCCTTGCATGGGGACTGCTCTTGTTGTCTGAGTCTTCAGCAGGGGTTGCCTACATGCTATTGACTCTGCCAATAGGACAGACTAAGAGGGAGTAGGGGAGGGGAGATCTGTGAGTGATGCTACTGCTCTTGGCTCTGGTGTAGGCGGTCAGTTCTCAGGCCTTTCCTCTGCTGAGATGTACCGCCAGGTTCTGCTATCTGGCTGCCGCTGTGTGGAGCTGGACTGCTGGAAAGGGAAGCCCCCAGATGAGGAACCCATCATCACCCATGGTTTCACCATGACCACAGACATCTTCTTCAAGGTGAGACTTGGGGTGTGGAGGGGGCTGGGAGGGATGGTACGAGGAAGGATCTTGGGCCAGAAACTTTTAGGGTAGCAGTGGGAGACTGGGGTCCTGGTGTGGCACTGTAGGATAAGCAATGGACTATTCTCCACAAGGTCAGTGGTTCAAGTCCACCAATTTCACCTCAGAAACCCTATACAGAGTTACTATGAGTCAGAACTGACTGGACAATACTTAACAATAACAAAAGAACAGTAAGTGGCAGACCAGAGGAAAGGAATGACCGGAACACTTTGAACTAGGGTGGGGACTAATGGGCTTGGGGGCTACGGTGGTCATCCAGTTATGTGTGTGTATATAAGTGAAGAGTGGGAAAAGATGCCATGGGGAGGGAAGCCTGGAGCACTGAGTCCCCTTCTCCTCCAGGAAGCTATTGAAGCTATTGCAGAAAGTGCTTTTAAGACCTCCCCTTATCCTGTCATCCTGTCATTTGAAAACCATGTGGACTCGTATGTATTGAGGCCTATTCAATCTTGTTCTTCACCCTGCTACCTACTTCCTGTCCGTAAATGTCCTCCCTCCAACTAGTCCCAGACCCTGGTCATCTCCTCTAGCTCTCTCACAGGTCTCAGTCTAATCTCCATGGAACCCCTTGGGACCTCTGGCTTGTGCCCCTGCCTCCCTGATCTTCTGAGCCCTAATCTAGGTCATTAAGGGCACAGAGGATCGACAGGGGTTGGGGCTGAGTTGCTGAACTCCACCCCACCCCCACTCTATGCAGACCCCGCCAACAAGCTAAGATGGCCGAGTACTGCAGGACAATGTTTGGGGATATGCTGCTCACAGAGCCCCTGGAAAAGTTCCCGGTGAGTGAAGGGGACTTCTCTGTGAGACATCTGGGCCTGGGAACTGGAGGCAGGGTGGTGCCAGGTTATAGAGGAAGATGTGACCAAAGGATGCTGGGATTCCTTTGAAAGGGTTGTGGAGATGGAATCCTGTCACCCACAATGTGTGAGGCACTGTGCTGGGCCTTGTGGGTACATTAGTAACCAAGACACAGTCTCTGTCCTTAGGTGGGAAGACAGACAAGATACCAGGCCTCTGCAATCTAGTGACTGCTGTGGAGAACTTGGGAGCTCTAACCTGGTTTTAGGGGCTCAGGAAGGACTTTCTGGAGAAAGTTATGGCTAAACTGAAGCCTGAAGGATAAATAGAGAAGTAGGCAGGGACCAATGGAGTATGGCTTGCTGTAAAGGAGTAGCATGGGCTACACCTTGAAGATGAAGAAATGGTGCTGAGTCTCTCTTCCCTCCCACAGTTAAAACCTGGCACCCTCCTGCCCAGTCCTGAGGACCTCCGAGGCAAAATTCTCATCAAGAACAAGAAGAATCAGTTTTCTGGCCCAGTGTCTCCCAACAAGGAGCCTGTGGGGGAGGCTGAAAGTAGTTGCCCACCCAAAGTCCCTGTGGGTGAGGACACAGGTAAGTCACCCTGAAAGGAAGGTGAGTGTCTGGAAAAAAAGAGGGGTCTGGGCCTGGAGGAGATATACCAGGGAGCCAACTTGATGCAGGGGTCCCACCCTGCCCCCAAAGCTGACCAGGCTGTGTGTGACAGTGTGGACTGGTGAGGAAGGAGCTGAGCTGGAGGAGGAAGAGGTGGGAGAGGAAGAGGAGGAGGAGTCTGGAAACCTGGATGAAGAAGAAATAAAGAAAATGCAGTCAGATGAGGTGTGTGGGGAGTCTTCCACTGAAAGGTCCTCTGGAGTAGAGGGTGCGGAGGTGAAGGTGTGGGGCTGGGCTCCTGGGCTCTATACTGTTCTCTTTCCACCCTCTTCCCTTCTCCCCAGGGCACAGCAGGCCTGGAGGTGACAGCTTATGAGGAGATGTCCAGCCTAGTCAATTACATCCAGCCTACCAAGTTCATCTCTTTTGAGTTCTCTGCCCGTAAGTTAGCATGGGGTAGTAGTTGTGGTGGTGATTGGGAACTGGAGACTAGGCTAGATACAGGAGACTGTCAAGAGGTATATCCTGACACCAGGAGCATCTTGACAGGTGGGGTAAAAAGAATGAGAGCTCAGACTCCCTGTCAATAAATATCCAGCAGAGGGCTCAGGCAAAGCACTTGTTCAAGTGGCACTGACCCCCAGTTTCCCAGCACTGCACTGAGGAACTTGGCCCCAAGTAAAATGCTCTGGAGTGTTTCTGACAGGCCATCTCATCCAGGCTAACCTGGAACTCCAACAGCCCCCTGTGGGTTCTATGGTTCTAGGACTGAGCCATCAGATCAACCATCCCAAGGCTAAATTATACTCTGGGTTGATCTAAGGCTAAAGCCCTGTTCCCTGGGGAGGAGACTTCCTGGCAGGGGGTGGAAGTCAGAGAAACCAGCCCGACACATCTGCCTTCTTGTACCCTTTACCTTTTGTGTACACATGCTACTGACTCTTATCTTCATGGGACTCAAACACAGTGCATTCCTCCCTTTCCCTGTACATGCTCCCAACATGTGTATCTTTCTGCATACACTTCTGTACAGTTGGATCTCTACAACAATGCCCTCTCATCTCTGCACCCTCAGCCTGTGCACACCCACAGAATATACTACAGTTGGTGTATACCTCTCATCCCACGTGTTCAGTCATAGCTTGCATGCTTCCCTCCTTGTGCACATCACAGCACGTGCTTACATTGAACAAGTGTACAGTGAATACCTGATCCCCTGGACACATCCTCAGCACGTTTCCCACATCTCTGTTCTCTAGGACCATGGCGCACCCTCTCATCCCTGTGTATGTCCACTGTGAATATCCTTTACCTGTGGCATACACTGTTTCCCACACAGATCTGTACATTTCCCCTGAGGTCAGGTCAGGTTCCCTCAGGCCTTGATGGGAATGCTGGGTGGAAGGTATCCCTAGGCTGGAGGGAGCTGTCCCAAAGGGCTGAGCAGGGCTGAGCGAGGGGAGGGCCTGATGTGGATGCCTTGCTTTCCTCTCCTCTACAGAGAAGAACCGCAGCTATGTCATCTCCTCCTTCACTGAGCTCAAGGCTTATGACCTGCTGTCTAAGGCCTCAGTGCAGTTTGTGGAGTATCCTTGAAGCCTCCATAGTCAGAGACCCTGGGTGGGGTGGGGAACTGATGAGGGTCTGGGGGCAGGATTCCCAGGGTGGGTTGTTGGGCCTTTCTAGTGCAGGCAGCCTGAGGCTGGGCTCCTAAACTCAAGGGCAGTTACAACAAGCGCCAGATGAGCCGTATTTACCCCAAGGGCACTCGCGTGGACTCCTCCAATTACATGCCCCAGATGTTCTGGAACGCTGGTTGCCAGATGGTGGCTCTTAACTTCCAGACAATGGGTGAGGGCACGCTAGGCCCCTGGAAGCCCTCTGCTGGTCCCTGCTCTCATCCTGAACCTTCACCCCCACCTCTGGGAGGTCTTTATGATAGATTGGGGTATCCTGATGTTTGTGTAAGACTCTGGGGGCACACCCAAGTGTGAGTGTTAGGGGGTTAAATGCCTGTATGATTGCATATATATATGAGTATGTAGGTGTAGATGCCAAGGTGCTGGCGTGGGTTTGGCTGCTCTGTCTGAGTGTGTCTGTAGGATCACCTGATCTACCTGCCTCAGCCCCACTGTGAGCTTGCAGTCTGGCCATGGCTTTGTTTTCTGCTGACTCCAGGTTGTAAGCCCATCCAGGGCAATGAGCTACCCTAAGGCTCAGGCTGTCACTCATGGTCTACCCAACCTTCCCCTTCACATGATGGGGAAGGCTGGGAAACGTAGGAAGTAAAGGCTGGGTGCCAACCTGGGCTTGGGCTCCTCTGAGTGCCCTTGTCCCCCCAGACCTGCCCATGCAGCAGAATATGGCATTGTTTGAGTTCAATGGACAGACTGGCTACCTCCTCAAGCATGAGTTCATGCGCCGGCCAGACAAGCAGTTCAACCCCTTCTCGGTGGACCGAATTGATGTTGTGGTTGCTACCACCCTGTCGATTACAGTAAGATTCAGAAGCAGAACAGTGGCTGGGAGGGTTGGGGTCTTGAGTAAAATACACGAGCCTCACTCTTCCATTCCCAACCCCCTCCCCTGATATCCTGAAAACTTCAACCCCAGCCAGTTCATGCAGTAACAAGTTGCCTTGGAAACTGCCTCCTCCTCAGTGCTGGAGGCTGCCTCTTGGTTGCCCATGGAAACCAAGGGGAAGGGCTGATGCTGGGGTGGGGGAGGGGAGGAAGAGTGGTTATAGTGGGGCAGCAGAGCCCCAGGCCCTAGGGGAGGGCATTGTTTCTTTCCTCCATAGGGAGGGAGGGAAGAAAGCCGAAGCTCCTCCCCTCAGTGCTGGAATGCCCTGGATGCCAGAGCTTAGCTGTACCCCATGAACTACACCACCTCTAAGGCTCCTCACTATACCCAAGGGTGGATACTTCAGCTACAGGCGGCCGGAGACCCCATGCTTGGGGAAAAGCCTGAGCTGGAGAGCTAACTGCATGGGGCCTACCCCCAGGTGATCTCTGGGCAGTTCCTGTCAGACCGCAGCGTGCGCACCTATGTGGAAGTGGAGCTGTTCGGCCTTCCTGGAGACCCCAAGCGGCGATACCGCACCAAACTGTCACCCAGTCCCAACTCCATCAATCCTGTCTGGAAAGAGGAACCTTTTGTCTTTGAGAAGGTGGGGACTAGGGTAGGGCAAGGGCAGGGATCTGTCCCTAGGTTTTAGTCTCATAGAAAAGAGGAATCAAATCAAGGGAGTTCCTTGAGTTCCCTCCTTCCACCCGTCCTGAGTTTCAAAAGAAGAAAAACTGAATTTGCAGTTGTCTTATTTGGTGAGCAGGCTTTATGTGTGTATGTATATGTGTGCATGTGCATGGGTGTGCAAGTTAGGATTAGAGGCCAGATTGTGAACTCTCATCCCAGGGTGCAGGGGCTCCTCAGTGCTCCCATTGGATACTGTGGACAAGGTTGCCAAGGCTGTTTGCAGCGGAGCTGCCTGAGCCCTGGGCTGCATCTGCAGCCCTTGTTCATGGTGGGGGCCAGCCATGGCATGAGCTGAGAGGATGTCTATGTATGTGACCTAGAGTATGTCCTCTGTCAGCCTTCACCAAATGAGTCCCTCCTGCCATGTTCTCTTACTGACCTTAGACTTCTAGAGCCAGGGGAGGGGACAGCTCGGCTCCCCTCTCCCTTCCCTAGCCTGTCTTATCCCGAACTCTCCCCAGATCATGATGCCTGAGCTGGCCTCCCTCAGGGTGGCTGTAATGGAGGAAAACAACAAGTTTCTTGGACACCGCATCATCCCCATCAATGCACTGAACTCTGGTAAGGAAAGGACAGTTCCCTTGGGTCTGAGACCAAGGCCAGTATCAAAAGTCTGTCCAGATGGTGGGGCCCTGAGGCCTTACATACCCCACTTAGATAATCAGCCATAATGGGTGGGACAGGAATCATATTTCTCTCAGAAACTGACAGAGGTGGGGTCTTGACCCACCTAATGGTGGTGTGTCTACGAGTCAGTTTCAACTCATAGTAGTAACCCTGTATAGGGTTTCTGAGGCTATAAATCTTTACAGGAGCAAAAACCTCAACTTTTTCCTGCAGAGTGGCTGGTAGATTCGAACTGCTAAGTTCAACAACCCAACTCGTAACCCACTAAGTTACTAGGCTCCTTCCTAATAGGAAAGTTTAATTTTCTTGAACTGCTGAGGCAGTTTCCCAAGTAAGTGACATTTATTGGGCATTTAAAATGTCCACAGGTGTGACACTGCAGGATAAGCCCTGGACGGCTAACTGCAAGGTTGGAAGTTTAAACCCATCAGTCACTCCTCAGAAACCCCATAGAGGGTGGCTATGAGTCAAAACCAATTGACAGTACTTACCAAAAGCAACAACAAAGGGCTTTTTAACACATTCTCACTTAATTCTAAAATATCCACATTCCACAGATGAAGACAGTCACAGAGAGGTAAGATAATCTGTCCAAAGTTACAGAGCCAGGAAGGTGTAGAACTAGAACTTAGGACTCTGGAGTGCTGGGCTACTCTGCCCATGTGCAGTGCTGTGGGCTGTGGGAATGGGCTGTGGCTCACCTGTCCCCCCCTCATCATGTCCTCCCAGGGTACCATCACCTCTGCCTGCATAGTGAAAGCAACATGCCTCTTACCATGCCTGCGCTCTTTGTCCTTCTGGAGATGAAGGACTATGTACCTGATACCTGGGCAGGTAGGAGGCTAATGGTTGATCCCCTACCCTAAGCCCAAAGTAGCCTCCAGAGAGGGGCAGCCAGAACTGAGTGGGTGAGGCCAGGAGAAAAGACTTCATACCAGGCCCATGATGTCCCTGTGCACTCAGATCTCACCGTGGCCCTCGCCAACCCCATCAAGTTCTTCAGCGCCCACGATAAGAAGTCTGTGAAGCTTAAAGAGGCCATGGGAGGCGGTGTGCCTGAGGTCTGTGTTGCCTGGACCACTGTCAGGGGCCCACCGGGGACCATCATGATGGGGCGGGGTCCCTGGTTCAGGGAGGAGGGCATGATGAATAGAGCCACCTTCTTAACCTGCATTCCCTACACAGAAGCCATTCTCATCCAGGAGTCCAGTTGCTGGCCAGGTCAACGGGGCCTCAGCTGCCACCAGTAACGGATCGACAGGTAAGCATTTCAGGTCCTCCAACCCACTGGGAAGGCCTGCACCCCGTCTGCATTCACAGGCACATCCCAGCCTGGCTACACATTTAAAGTAAGAGGGAAGGGGTGTGTCAGAAGCCAGGAGGCTCGGTAAGTGCCCTTCGAGGGGCCAAGGGGCCGGTACTTCGACTTCCAAGAGGCAGGGAGGTCAGCCAAAGGGATCCCCAGGCACCAATCAGCCTACCCGGTGGCTCTTGCAGCGGCCGGAACCAGGACAAGGGAGGAGACCTCGAAGGAAGCCACAGGTACGCCTGCTGAGCTCCGGGGATCTTGGGAATGAACCTGGGGGAGGGGGTGGGGCTCCTAAGGACTCAAGAAAGCGGGGAGAGGGGACCCTGGACGGCGACTCGCTCACACTGGCTCCGCAGAGCCTCAGACCGCCAGCCTAGGGGAGCTGCGAGAGCTGAAAGGCGTCGTGAAGCTGCAGCGGCGTCATGAGAAAGAGCTGCGGGATTTAGAGCGGCGCGGTGCGCGGCGCTGGGAGGAGCTGCTGCGGCAGGGGGCCGAGCAACTGTCCGGGATCCGGCCGCCGGGTGGTGGCCGCAAGCTCGGCCCTGGCAAGGGATCCCGCAAGAAGAGGTAAGTCATCGGCCAGCGCTCTGCCTTCGGCTGCGCAGGCGCTGGAGGCCAGGGCTTAGGGCCTGCCCCCACGTGGCCCTGCAGAACCCTGCCCGGAGAGGAGGCCGCCTGGGCGGTGCCGAGCGAGGTCCCCGAGGGCGCGGAGGCGCGAGTACGAGAGCTGAAGGAGAAATTGGAGTTGGAGCTGCGGCAGCAGGCCGAGGAGCAGTACGAATGCGTCCTGAAGCGCAAGGAGCAGAACGTGGCAGAGGTGCCAGGGATGGGCCCTGAGCCAATTAGCTTGACCCCTTCCCCTTCCTCGAAGATAACTCAAAGAAAATGCGAAATCTCTAAGAGGGGCGGGAACCTGATCCTAGGGTGCAGCATGGGGACCCAAAGAGCACGTGGGGAGGCTACTGAGGCCCCAGCCAACTCACACACAGCCTCAGCACAAGAGTTAAGCCTCTCCAACCTCTTGTCTCAGCAAATTGCCAAGATGATAGAATTGGCCCGAGAGAAACAAGCTTTGGAACTGAAGACACTCAAGGAGACCTCAGAGAAGTATGACTGCCTTCCTCCTACGCTGGGCTCTCACCTGCCAGCAAAGGTTCCAGTCCCACAAAGCATCTTTCTGATGCCTGTCTCTCTGTAGTGACACCAAAGAGATGAAGAAAAAGCTGGAGGCCAAGAGGCTGGAACGGATCCAGGCCATGATCAAGGTCACCTCAGACAAGATGGCCCAGGAGAGGTGAGCACCTGCAGAGGAGACCCAGGACTCAAAGGCCAGTGCTGAGCCCACACCCACTCCAGGTGGGAAGGGGCCACCCCTCAAGTGGACCTTGACTCTTGTTTCTAAAGATGTGCCTCTTCTGTCGCTCTTGCATGTTGATCCCACTTCTGCCACCTCTGGTTGGAGAATTTCCTCCTTGGGCAAAACATAGATACCAATACTACTAGGGTAGAGAGGTGCATTTGAGGAAAAATTAAGCATGCAGAAAGAGAGGTGCATGTTGGCATAGGAGCCTGTCCACTCTGGCAGCTTTGCTTCCCACCTGTGTTTTTCCATCTGAGCCTTCAAGGACTGTGCATTTGAAATGAGGAAGCCATGACCTCAGAGGACCCCAGGCTCTGTTGCCCTCCACATCATCCTTAGGCCTTCATGCTTACTCCTGTGGCTGGTTTCTGCTCCTATGATGTGTTTCCAATTTTGCATACACTCTGAGTAGACTCTATGGCACTCAACTCCCCTCAGGAATCTCCTGTCCTTTCTGAAACTCCATTTTCCAATAGGTTGAAGAGAGAGATTAACAACTCCCACATCCAGGAAGTGGTACAGGTCATCAAGCAGGTGTGTAAGGACTGTTTGTTCTTCCCAAACCCACATGTGCAAACACACACACATTCCAGGTTGGGTGGGTGGTCCCAGGCCCTTACTTTGCCCTTAGGAGATGCTCTGGCCAGAGTTGCCCATGTAGTTAAAGATATAAGGAGGAAGAAGATATTAGTGCAGGGAATGGGGAGCCCATAGACTATCTAGGGTTCTGGCCTTTGTGTGGAAGTTGGGGTACCAGCCTAAAGGGGACTGTCTCTGGCCAGATGCCCTAGATGGAAATGATTTGGCCCAGCTGACCAGCAGAAGATGGGTTTGTGGTGGGTGAGTAGTGAGGAGGGCTTCCTGAGGTTCTAAGGAGTCAGACGAGAAGGCAAGTCCTGCTGAGAATGGAACTAAAGCTCCTTTGGAGACTATTATACAGTAACAGTGGCACTGCCACAACAGGACCAGAGCTACCATCTTCTGAATCCTGCCCTTGTGCCAGGGTGTGTTTAACATTCTCATTGAATCCTTCACAACCCAGTAAGATAAGAGAGATATTAGCCTCATTTTTACCGATTAAAAAACACTGTTCTGAGAGGTTAAAGACTTGTCCAAGGTCTAACAACTGGCTAGCTTGTATTGTAGCCATGGTTCCAATCCTGCTTAGCCTATCTGTGCTCTGCTGACTCCCTGTTTCTCACTCCCACCAAGATGACAGAGACCCTAGAGAGGCAGCAGAAAAAGCTGGAGGAGAAGCAGACGGCCTGCCTGGAACAGATCCAGGAAATGGAAAAGCAGGTAACAGGGACTGCTACATTAGCCCCTAGTACAGGCTACCTGGCTCCAGGGTGCTGCCAGTCAGGAGGTGATCCCCATCCCTCATGGGTGGGTCATAGGCTCTGATTCCCATGGGATCCCAGCCTTTCCTAATGAGGCAGCTCTGTAGATTTCTGTGATTTTTTTTGGTAATCTCTCTCCTGAGATGGTCCCTATATATACCCCACCATCCTCCTGGAAGGAACATCTCTTTATCCCATGGTCCAGGGGAGAGAGAGGGGACAGTTGATCCCTTCTGAGCCAGACGGTGGTCCTTGCGCCTTCACAGTTCCAACAGGAGGCACTAGCAGAGTACGAGGCCAGGATGAAGGGCCTGGAGGCTGAGGTGAAGGAGTCGGTGAGGGCCTGCCTCCAAGCCTGCCTCCCTTCTGAGGCTGACGACAGATCTGAGAAGTCCTGTGGTGCTGTCATGGAGCAGACTGAGATGGGCCCACTCACAGCAGGGGCGCATGCCCAGGAGAGCCGCCTCTGATGTCCCCATTCCACTGGGATATCCAGCAAGGCTGTTCAGACCCTTTCTGGGGTGTGGAAAGCAGGAAAAGGCCCAGCACTCTGAGGCTGCAGAAAGCTGGGGCTCCTTTGGCTGCTGGAACCTTCTTCTCAACAGCTTGGCTAGAGGAGGAAGCAGGAAACCAAACCTGTACCCTCAGGCAGGGGCTCATGGGGCCTAGAGATCCTCCCTGAATCTGCTGCCTGCTCCCCATCCATCCTTCCCCTATCTCTGAATAAGTGTCACATATTTGTTGAGGACAAAGAACATGAACGAGGAGGAAGGAAATGGGTCCAGGTCCAATTATGCCTTTCCTAATGGTGTTACCAGTGGGTCCCTCTCTGCTCTCCCTTTCTTTACCTGGAGGATTGGACCTGGCCACCTGGAAACTCCACTGTAGCATCTGTGGTTCAAGCAATGCCAAACCCAGAACCCTTCTACGGCATCCAGGGCAGCTTATCTAGGCCTTGCTGTCAGCTCCTGAAGAGAGCCTGACACTACCTCCAAACTCCTGGGAACTGGCTGCTCCCAGGGTCCCAGGCTGGGGTCCCTTGCCTTGTCTCTTGCCTGTGGGGGATGGGATGGCTGATATGGAAAAGCTGCCTAGCTGTCTAGTCTTTGGCTGGTAGTGGGAGAGGAGGAGGACTTCTTTGGGTACTGTCCTTCTCCTAGGCCTGGAGGTGGTGGTGGCAGGGGATGTCCTACCATGCACACCGCTCCCACTCCACACACACACGCACTTGGACTACCTGGCAAGGACAGCATCATTTTCTCTCCTGAATGTGTGAGATTTATTTATTTTTCTCTTCCCTACTCCTACTAAAGAATCCTATCTGGATATTTTCTGTCCAAGCCTGGCCTGTGTTCTATAGTTAGGAAATGGTGTGTATGTGTGTGTGTGTGCGTGTGCATGCAGGGGAAGTGGCATGCCCCCCAGACAAAGTGGGCTGGGAAAAAAACTTTTGGGTGCTAAATCCAGAAGGTCTTTCCAGAGCCCAGTGAGAAGGACAATCTATAAGGAGCACTCACAACTCAACGTCCCATTTGGTTATTATAATTTATCTGCGAAATAATATCACTCTGGGTTTCCACCATCTTCTCCCTTACCCCTTACTGGGAAACCACAGAAGAGGGAAGGATGTGCATTTGTTTAAAAGCTGAGCAAAGCCTCTGGCAGCTACATTTTGTATAGGGACTGGAAAGCAATTACTGCTCTGCAAAGACTTTTTTAAAGGAATTGACAGAGTCAAAAAATAGTCTTTGTGTCCCCTACATACCCTGCCTTGGGTTTGAAGAGACCACTTCCCCTTCAGACAACCTTGATGCCACACCACTGGAAAATGATGTCACCCCTCTCCTGAATCCCCCTGGAGCAGTAGAGCCTAGTGCAAAGTGTCCCTTAGCCCAAACCTTCATTTCCCGAGGCCTCTTTGCAAAAGTGAGAGTTGTCAAGTCAGTAAGCAGATTTTCAGGCCACTAGAGGATAAGCATAGTGGTTATGAATCGGGCTGCGAACCTTAAGGTCAGCGGTTCGAAACTACCAGCTGCTCCGCGGGAGAAAGATGAGGCTTTCTACTCCCGTAAGGATTTACACCCTCGGAAACCCTGTACAGGGTCGCTATGGGTCGGAACCGACTCGACGGCACTTAACAAACAAAAACAAAACAGAGGATAAGCACTGGTGTGGCGCTGTGGGTTAATGCGCCAGACTGCAAAGCTGTTGGAATTGCAAGGTCGGCGGCTCAAGCTCACCAGCTGCTCGGAAACCCTATCCAGGGTCACTATGGGTCAGAATCGACTCGACGGCACTCAACAACACAACAGAGAATAAGCACTGGACCTCAAGGTCGGTTTGAACTGCAAAGTTGGCGGTTCAAACTCACCAGCTGCTTCTCGGAAACCGTGTTCAGGGTTGCTATGAGAAGGAGCTGACTCAATGACACTTAACAACAACAAAAAGCAGCAGCTTTGATTGGACCCAAAACTTTATGTCCAGGGGGCTGTGCCCCAAATCCTGTGAGGGCAGACACTAGTTTGCAAGCGGCACAGTGGGAACTGATTCTGGGAAGAGGTTGTTTGCTTATCAGAGTTACACCAGACACCATTAGCAGGGAGCACCTGTGGTTTTGGAAAACAAGGAATTGACAGTGTTTTACCCTCAACATCCCCCCACCCCCCCCAGGGAGCCTGGCCTCTGGGAGCCTGCCAGTCCCTGGCTGTAGGGTGAGAAGAGGGGGACTGCTTATTCACAGGATTAAGGGCTCCATGGGTCAGCCTGTCCTCCACCCCATACACACAGTAGGTACAGCTGGGGTGGGGCACACCTGCCCAAGAGCAGTGCCCTGTCTGCAGGTCAATCATCCTGCAACTTTGCAGGGCTGGAGATCCGGCCTAGAGCCTCTCACTGACCCAAGCAGGTAGACAAAAGTCAGAGCCAATGGAGCAAAAGGACAGTTCTGCAGCTTTTGCTGATGACTGCTCAAGAGGAGAAGAGGCAGTCTTCCTCTCGTCTTAGAGCCAGGCTGGGCAGCCCAGGAAGGGACAAGGGGGTGCAGTCCTGTTTCCTAGGGAGCTGTTTGCACAGCTGGCTGGGGCTTCCCATGAGGCCAGGCCCCTATTCACTGCCTGCTTTTTGGCCTCTAAAATAGGACAAGATGTCCCCTGGGTCAGGGCCATGGGCTCAGCCTGGCCCCTGGAGTTGTATTTAACTCTGGAGCTAGGGGCTGTGCAGAGGAAGAAGGATGCTCTCCCTCCCTTAGGACACTGGGACAGGTGAAGTGCACCTGGGTTCCATTCCTCCTACAAATCTATGGGGCTGGTAGCAAGTTTCCCTTTCCATTGTCATGCCTCAGTTTCACCTTTTGCACAAAGATAAGGGTCCCTACCCCCTTCCCAATATCATTGCTGATTCAGATGCCAAAGTCCCCTGCTGACTCACTCCCCACCCCTGGCCCCCTCCCAGTCGCTCTCTGGATCTCCCAGCCACGTGCCACCATGCCCAACCCTGCTGAGCTGGTGCAACGTGACAGGGTGAGGGGGCTGGTGACACTTGAGGAAGAAAGAAGGGGGTGGGGTGGGGGACAGCTGCAGACAGACAGAAGAGTGACAGACTGTGGACCAGAGATGCTCTGGGAGGAAGCCCTTTTGCCAGCCTGGGGCCTGAAGGGGGACAGGTTCAGCAGGTGGGAGGGGAGGAGGAGTGGGGAGAGCCTGTCTGCCCCCTGACTGCCTAGGCTCCATCTCCTGTCAGCCTTCAGCTCCCTAAGCGACAGCTTCTAATTCCGGCTGTTGGTGCCTCTGTGCTCTGCAGCAAAGTCTCAGCTTTTTTTCAGCTTTGCTATTTCTTTTCTGTTCAGAACATACTGAGCCCACAGGAAGTCAAGAGCAAAGACTCCAGGGCCACAGACCTGGCCGGGATGATGGTGCCAGCTGGGCATCCAGTCCTGCCATCCCTGCCAGGCCAAGGTGAGGATCTGAAGAGAATACCACTGCTCTTCTCTGGAACAGTCTCCATCCACCACAGGGAAGAGGGACATAATAGGGCCTTGCCATTTTAGGGTGCAGGGGGCAAGGTGGAAAAGGCCTGGCTGTTGAGACAAAGGAGGTGCCCATTCTGTTAATGCTGTTTCTCTCTCCAAGGGGGTAGAGGAAATAGGGCACCACCTGACTGGTCAGATTAGCCTGCCACATACAGATTCCAGAAGTACCCATTCCCCTGGCACTGGAAATAGAAAAGAGGTGAAGAAAGCAATTTCCCACATACTTCAGAAAAGGGAACTTGAATCATAAAGGTCTGAGGAAAAGACTTTCTTCTGCTACCTGAATAAAGGGGAGAGCATTCCTGCCCCCCAGCAGACCTGGGAATTAATGGAGAGTTCATATCCACTCCTCAGGGCCCTGAATGAGTTTCCCAGGAGCTCCCTCTCTAGGCCTGAGGGCAGGATCAGGCTTTGAAGGCTGCTTTCTGAATCAAGGTGCTGCTCTTTCCCAGAGGCTAGCTCTTGCTGGACCCTGGGTGAGCTGGCAGGGCTGGTATTATCAGCTTCAGTTTACAGATGGGAATATGCAGGCCTGGAGTCACACTGCTAATAAATGCTTTAATTCTGATGTCAAATACCGTGCCCTTTCTATGACACCATGAAAAGAAACTGGCAAAGCCTTCACTAAGGGCCTAAAAATGCAAGATGTGAAAAGGGTGTGTGTGTGTCACAGTCTGCAGGTATACATCATATGATCCCCATATGACAGAAGGGAGGGGCCTCAGATCGCAGAGGGCAAGAGGCTCAGGGTGCAGGACCATGCGCCCACTTTACCACTTACCTTCTTTCCTGAGGCAGAGCCTCTCTTTCCTGTTCCCTTCCCCAAGCATAGCCTGCTGCAAAACTATCTCTGTTCAGGCTGAGGGCACCTTCATTTCTTTACTTTCATAAGAACCCAAACCATGAAGTCAATTCTGACTCATGGAGACTGCACACTACAGGGTTTTCAATGGCTGATATTTAGGGGGAAGCGGATTGCTAGGTCTTTTCTTCCAAAGTGCTTCTGAGTGGACTCAAACCTACAATCTTGGTTGGCGCTACCTAGGGGCAATGCTCTTATAAGAAGGGACCCCTTAAGGAAGTCTGTCAATACGCCTCCCCCAAAGTGCCCTGTTTTTCCTGCCTTTGTCTGGACCATCTTCCCTCTTTCTTAGTAGCCTGATCCTACATATTCTGGAAGGACTGACTCAGAAGTCCTAGCCTCAGAAAACTCCAGAGCCATTCCCTCCCCACAACTCCGTCTTTTCCTCTAGAAGCTTGGTTTTGTATTTCACAGAGATAGTTCTCAGGTGATAACTGAGAACCACTTTCTATGTCTTGGTTTTACTGCTTGAGAAGGAAACCTAGAAACCAGACAAGAACCTAGCTTCAATTTTCCCACAGCTGTGAACACAGTACTGGACTCATGCAGTCTTAGTAAATTCTGTAGTTGATTGATACCTGCTGCCCTTCTTAATTTACAAATATCCACCCCAACCTCCCCTACTTCCACCCCAGGCTCTGACTCCCCTTCAAGAGGCCTGCAGATCTTCTTCCCACAGTTCCATCCCTCTCACCACCTACATAGAGCCAGGCAGCTAGAGGGAGGTAGAGGGCTTGGTTTGCCCAAGCCCTACTGACTCTTCCAATGGAGTCCTGGTCTTCCAGTAGAGCTCTGATGGGGGTGCGGGTTAGACATTGGGCTGCTAACCGCAATGCCAGCGGCTCCGTAAAGATTTGCAGTCTCGGAAACCCAAAGGAGCAGTTCTACTCTCTAGTAGAGCTCACTATGAGTCGGAATCAGCTCGACGTCAGCGAGTTTGGTTTTGGATATTGACTCTTCCCCTCTCCTTCCTTTCCCAAGGGGTTAGAGTCCTATGACTTGGGGATGATTCTGCGATTAAGAGAGCGGTGGGGACTGAGGAGAAGTCTTGCCTAGGTCTATCGCTGTTTCCGAGGCGCAGCCGGCAGTGGAAGAGCCGGAAGGCGGCGCCCAGGAGTTGCTAACGCGCCAGCCGTACTCCTGGGTCCTAAAGCGTCCGTCGCGTCTGCGCTATGCCTGTAGCTGGCGTGCGGGGCGCGTTGTCGGGGTTGGAGACGATTGAGGTTGGAGAGCGCACTCTTCCCGCCCACCCCCCCATTCCTGTTCCGAGTGAACGTGTTCAGGAGGAATAATTGTGTGAGTGCGTGATTCGCAGCGCTTCGAATGGCAGTTCCCAGCCAGACTGAGCGCCCCCGCCCCCGCGCGGCGCTTGTACCCCCTCCCCCAAATTACCCCTCTCCGGCCTTTCCTCTCTATACTCCGCTCACACAGGGTCCAGTTCTGCCCTCGTGGGGAACCATTTTCCTCCATCCTTTACTGTTGGGGGCTGCTCTCAGTCTTCCCCGACGGTCCCAAGGTCCCGCCAGTTTCTAAGGAACCGAGGATACCGATTAGGGTGGGGGCGGAGGGCGGGGAGAGAAGATGCCACTTTGGGATTGGCCTGGTGGGGTGCATGTGGCCCCCGGCAGGCAGCCCCCGCCCCGCAACCGCCACTGCAGCCCCAGGGGAGCGCGGAGGAGGAGCCGCTCCCCGACTCCGTGGCCCACGGAGGGGTGGGGGTCTGAGTAGGTCTCCCCCACTTCGTTGTCTCTGCCCTGACGGCTCAGCCTGCTTCCAGGGCAGCCATTGCCATGGAGACCCCCCGAGGCGATAAAGTCAGGTATCCAGGCGGGGGACAGCATCCGAGGCGCTGAGCCCCCCAAGTAAGGAGCAAGCGCCCCGCTGTGGCCCGGCCCCCGCGAGAGGGGAGGAGGCGGAGGAGCGGCGCCAGCAGCTTGAGCTGTGAGCCCCGCCAGGGCTGGAGGCTGACGCGCACGGCGGGCACAACCGACTCAGCAGGGGAGAGGAGACTGCCCGGGGTGCGGGTGAGGGGCGCGGCAACAAGCTACTTAGGACTGAGGGGTGCCGGACTCGGAAAACACTGCGAGAGACTCCGGAGGGGGCCTAACTTCAGCTCAGGTAGTCTCATCGTGGGCCAGGCGCGGAGCCCGGAGTATTGAGCAGCCAACACCTCCAGGCGGGAAGCTCGGAAAAGGAGCAGCGAGACTCTAGGCGTACGGTCCAGGAGCGGCGGGGCCGCTGGAGTCGCCGGGGCGAACCGAGTAGCAACCTTAAGACCTTCGACCGCGGTCGCCCACGCGTGGAGAGAGCCTTACCCGGGCGCAGGTGGGGATCAGAGCCCAGTGGGGCGCGGGAACAGGGGCGCCCCCGTGCGGAGCTGCGGGGCCGCCTGGGTACGGCGGCCGGGACCATGCTCAAGCCCAAAGACCTGTGCCCCCGAGCGGGCACGCGCACCTTCTTGGAGGCCATGGAGGCAGGCAAAGTGCACCTGGCCCGCTTTGTGCTGGACGCACTGGACCGTAGCATCATAGACTGTCGTGCAGAGCAGGGTCGCACGCCGCTCATGGTGGCGGTGGGACTGCCGGACCCTGCTCTGCGCTCGCGCTTCGTACGGCTGCTGCTGGAACAAGGTGCGGCCGTGAACCTGCGGGACGAGCGCGGTCGCACGGCACTCAGCTTGGCATGCGAGCGCGGCCACCTGGACGCCGTACAGCTGCTGGTGCAGTTCAGCGGTGATCCCGAGGCAGCCGATTCGGCTGGCAACAGCCCGGTGATGTGGGCGGCGGCGTGCGGCCACGGGGCGGTGCTGGAGTTCCTGGTGCGCTCCTTCCGCCGCCTCGGTTTGCGCCTCGACCGCACCAATCGTGCTGGCCTCACGGCGCTGCAGCTCGCCGCAGCTCGCGGCCACGGGACTTGCGTGCAGGCCCTCACTGGGCCTTGGGGTCGCGCTGCGGCCGCGGCCGCGGCTCGGGGCTCTAGTTCCGACAGCCCACCCGGCCGCCCGGCCCCTGCGCCCAGCCCGGAGCGGCGACGACCCAGCCCCCGCCGTCTGCCACGGCCTCTCCTGGCGCGCTTTGCGAGAGCAGCGGGAGGTCACAGTGGCGAGGCAGGCTCGGGAGTTAAGGGCTCGGGCCGACACCGGGCGCAGGGCAACGAGCGACCTGAATTGGGCCGGAGCATGAGCCTGGCGCTGGGTGCCGTGACCGAGGAGGAGGCGGCCCGCCTACGGGCAGGGGCTCTGATGGTCCGACCACATTCTCCCCAGTCTTCAGGGACTGGGCGGTGGCGCTCGCAAGAGGTGCTAGAGGGTGCGCCTCCGACCTTAGTGCAAGCCCCCATTGGCCTTAGCCCCCACCCCGAGGGCGGTCCCGGCTCCAGTCGCCTGGGTTTGCGCCGACGCTCCACAGCCCCAGACATCCCCAGTCTAGTGGGGGAGACATCAGGGCCCGACAGCGGCCTGGAGTTAGAAGCCAATGCTCTGCCTGTCACGGTGCCTGGGCCGCAACCTTGGCAGGCTGGCACGGAGGCAGTGGTGTTGCAAGCCCAGCGGTAAGCGGCTCCGAGGTCCGGCTTCACTGGAATTTCCCCCCTGCTTCCGGATCCCTCACTTCCCAGCCGCTCCCCGGTCTTTATTCCAAAACCTGTACCGACTGCCAAAGCCAGGCCTTCACCAGTCCTCTCTCTCGGAGGAACCCCTATTTTTATTATTATTATTTTTTTCTTATTTTGCCTCTCCCATTCTGTCATACTACCTTTCCTCACCCTGGAAGGCGAGGAGGGTAGAAAGCTAGTTCCATAGTCTAGAGCCTTCCAGGCAGGAACATGGACCCAGCTGCCCCAATCCTAATGCTTGGCCACCTTCTAGGCCTGAGCCTGCCTAAGTTCCCGCTGGCTTCTGCCTGGCAACCTTCCCCAGATGAAAAGTTAGCCTTGTGGAACTAAGTTGGGCCTTCCCCATGGGGCTCTGAGTTCTGCCTTGTGACGTTGAAAATAATGCCACAAACTACTTAAGGTTGCCTTCCTTTCAAGTTGGACCAGAGTAGCCTAGAGCCTTTCTGAACTGGAAGGCTGAAATAGCACTGAAGTTTTCTCTGGGGGAGAAACTCTCCTGCCTTCAGACAATAAAAGCAGGTTTAGCGGGTAAGGAGAGCCCCTGGTGTTGAATCATTTATCCTTTGAACCAGCTTCTGGATAATTCCAGCTCTCTCTGCCCCAAGCAGACCCAGGATTCAACTTTTTGATTGATGAGGATAGGAGCACTACACCAACCCTACTTAGCCGAATTTCAAGCTCCAGAGTGTCAGCTTGCTTCTTATCTGGTTGGGCTGGCCTTGAGTTCCATCTTTGAGGTTCAGTCCCTGGAGCCCCCACCCCCACCCCCACCCCCTCTTAGCCAGACCTTATTTCTGCTCTCTGAGGGAGGCCTGAAATGGAACGGACTTAGCACATCCCCCGCTCACCGCCTCCCAGCTCCCCTGTCCTGCACGTGGGTGCTCCCGCAGGGTAGACCGGTTGCGAAGGCTTTGCTTAATTGTATTTCTTCCAATCCTCAAAGAACTCGTGTATATAAAGCATAAAGCAGCAGGTCTGATCCGAGGCTTAAGAACCTAACAATGTCTCTTTAAATAGAAGCTCCACGAGGGGGATAATTGACTGAAGTGTTTGCCACGTTAAACGGCGGCGCGCGGGAGTCGGGAGCCCACACGAGCCGCAGGTCGGGGTTTAAATTACATCAAACTCCCGGCGAGAGCAGGAAGGAGCCTGTTAAACGGCTCCTGCTTCTCGCTGGGCCGTTAATGGTGGGCAGGGCATTTGATGGATTCTACTGGTTGAGACCAGGGACCCCTGCCTGTGTCCCACCGCGTGGGACACAGGCCCAGCCCAGCTTTCATTACTGGGCTGATTAGTGAGTCAGAGGCTACCACGGAGAGGGGGTTAAAGGCCTTTTCCTGGCTTCGCCTTTCGTAACCTCCCTTCTCACCTCCGTCGGCCTTCTCTTTGTGTCGGTCTAACGCGGGGGAGAGGCTAGAGGTACGCGGGCGCTAGGACCCTGCGGAAGCTCAAGCATTTGTGTCTGTGCCCAGTCTCGGGTGTACTGCGTGTGGTGGCTCTTTGGCGAACCTCGAAGGTGGAGTGTGCTGCCCCTCATAATGCCTGCGGTTGGGCCTTTTATCAAGACGTCGTTTTTTCAGAACCGAAGGTTCCACTTTAACACCAGTAACTCCAAAGGAGTTACCTGGAGCGAGAGTGACCCGTGCTAAGA